GTCTTTGTCTCGCTTATATAACAAGGATACTTATGTGCCGACACTCTGTGCATATCCCGAAATAGTAATTAAAAAAATAAATATAATTAATATTTGAAACCGGAGAATTTGTTGAAGGCAGTATGATTTTATAATTTATGCTGTTATCTCGATTTCATACTTTCCACATTTAATAAAATAAGATCCAGCTTCGTATCTACCCTTTACACTTTTCCCATCCTTATGACTTTGCTTACACATTGGGCATAATGACCCCTCAATAATTCCGTAATAATCATTTTTTTCAGTAATAATTGTTTTATATAAACCAGAATATCGCCACAATATTTTATTACGAAAATAATTACGATCATGAGTTGAATTAGACGATGCACTTATTATATCTGCTGAATTGCTGGAAACAGTCACTTCGTGGCTAGAGATATGAGATGATTGGATAGAGGAAGCGGTTATAGTACTTACTTCTGTTTCTTCATTTACCTCATTTTCCGGTATTTTTTTTTGAGTCGGGAATTTCAGTTATATGATTTTGGCGACGGGCCGTCGTCGAAATTTCACTCGTGTGATTTTCTATATTGAACTCATTATTAGAAATATTATCGATAATCTTTTGAATTTGTTCGTTGGTCAATTCGGAAATAGAATTTGCACTATATGCTTTAAGGTATCTAATTTTATCTATGCCTATTTTTTCGAATAGTTTATAAGTTCTTATGGCTCTTTGAGTCTTTTTACATAAGGTTTTACGTGAAATTTCTGGGAGTTGTATTCTCATTTCCTTGGACCTTTTCTTACGGATAATAATGAGGTGCTCTAATATTTTATCATAAATTATACCTTTAGCTTTTTTCTCGCCAAATTTTCTATTACTATTTTTCACAATATCATTATACTGAATTATAAATTCTTTCCCATAATTAGTCCAGCATAAAGTTTCTTCTTGGTTAGCTTTTATAGCATAATATTCGGCATCAGTTGCACTATCAAATAATTGTGCTAATTCGAGTAATGGGATTGCAGAAGAATTTGATGATGAATCTGTCTCTGCGAACTTCTGCTATATGATTAGAAGAAGCAAAACTTTGAAGGACAACGTCTCAGAATTGTGTATTGTCTTTGATCTATCCGAAAGGATATTATTTTGAATGCCATCAGCTATTACTTGAGCAATATTCTCTGTTCCTTTTTTCTTGTGTAATTTATCCTGATTATTATCTTGATTTTTCGAGTCCAAAGAAACTGGGGATGTTGGTATAGTTAGTACTTCGGATAGTATCGGTGGAGTTGAGTTATTAAATGATCCTTGAAGTTTCTTTTCCCTGTTCCTCTTTATCATCATATCACTAACCGCTTTCTTATTCTGCATATCCAAGAAATCAATCATCTCCTTTTCCTCTAATGATTTAGGCTCTGTGCGGACAGGTAAGGCAGAGCATCGAGTCAGAGATACATCAGAATTTGAAGCGTTATCAGATATATTAGATACTGGGGCATCCTCACTTTGTAAGATCATCTGTTCAGGAATACTATTAGAATTTACTGGATACTGCGAGACACTAGTAAAAATTTTTTCTTTATCTCTTTGTTCTAGATTCACTATTCTAGCTTCATGTTCTTCTAAAGCTTGCTTTAACTTCACATTATCACCTTTAATCTCAGTATTTTCCACTTTAACTTTCACATTCTCAGCTTTAAGTTCGATATTCTTAACCTCAACCTCAGCAAACCTCTTTCTAAGTTTATCAATTTCGGATACAAGCCTGGAATTCAATTCCTTCAATGAATCAATTGTGGATTGCATGTTTAGTAATATATTGTATATGTTTTGTCATTTATTTAAAATGTGTAACTAAAAGTAACAAAATTTCAGTAATGGGCCGTCGTTGAAAATTTCAATAAAATTTTGCAAATTATTTGTGTTCTGTAATAGCTTTACAGAATCAAGATTCCAATTACTTGATCGTTTCATTATTTATAGAATTACAAAAAATAGTGATCGGATTTCGAATATAATTTTGAATTTATTTCACATTGTAAAATTGCAGTCGATATCATTTTTTTGAATTTTTTGATCTAAATAGTGTATTATCTAAATCATTTAGATCGATTTTCTCATAAAGTGATGAATCCAGATAACGCATCAAATCGCGACTCGTCGAAGTGGAACCAGGAGATGGAGAACTGGAACATAAGGAATCGGGAGACGGAGATTTCGGTAAGGGTTGGTTTTTATCTTTTTTCTTTTGTGGAGTGTCGTCTACTGAAGTTATGCAAATATTATTATTATCTACCATAACATTAGTGGTTGCTTTATTTATTACTCTGGCTGTTGACAAGACATCTGTCTGTAGAAAAAAAAATTATTATTTGCTTGATAAAGTTATCGACAAGTATGTTCAATAATCTACCTGCCAATCCATCAAACATATTATGTCCCTTGAAAACTGTTCGAAATCACTAAAGGTGACAGGTATTTTGATGCGCCCGAATTGTTGTAGCATGTAGATTTTTGGCAGTGGTCGAATTAAATACTTAATTTCAACAAATCCGTCTATAAAGAAACATATGTCAAAAAAGTAATTTTGTAAGATTTAACTCCTAATTATAATCACTTACCAAATGACTGCACTAAGTAGATGCGTGCACGCTCCTTGGGTACTTTTCCTAACAATACATTTAAGGTTCTCATAGCATTTCGACAAAGCTTAAGCGAATCACCATCTCTCTTGGACATGGGAGTTGTTCTTCCACGTGAAAATTCAATAATGACGATAGTTTGACCTTTGCCTCTTGTGCTAATAACTTTATATAATCCATCGAATTTATGTTTTTTTGTATCTGGAGTAACTTGTTCAATCCTTAATTAAAGAAACCAATTAATTAGTAAGGTTATAATTTAAAATTTAAAATTTAGATTGATACCTACCAAGCAACATCCAACTCGTCTTGGTACATCCTAAATAACCTATTTAAAATGTAAATTATTGTGTCTATAGCATAAGTTCTTTCTAAATTGAGGCCTTTGTACTCGACTCTCATTGGTGCTTCTAAGCGTAAAGAACTATTTTCGAAAAAAATTAATCATAAGGAGTTTTGATTAATGTTAACTGTCAACATAAGAATACTTACAAATGTGTTAGTATATGCTGGGCAATATCATGCGCTTCATGATAAAAAGAATCAAATCTCCCAGTAACACAGGATTTGCGAACAATTGTTGGAATATTGGTTCGAGTACAGGTTTCTTCCGTGAATTGGTTGATATATTCCGTAAATTCCGGAGTAGGTTTCCAAATTTTTTTCTGGAGGACCCCTTCAAGCCAAGAAATTTGATCCTTATTCAAGGACTTTTTAATCTGTTTGTGCGTCTCATCGTCTGATAAATCTATAATACCATTAAGGGATACTGATGTCAAAAAATCTTTTCCGATTTTCGTGTCTTTTTCTTGGCGTGCGACCAGAATTTTGAATAACTTTTTATGGATTTCTACTTCGTCCTAGGAGATTTAGTATAAGTGAGCTGAGCATAGTTATTATATGTACAAGATAGCAAATGCCAAAACACCTCGGTAAGACTCTTGATTTCTATATCATCTTCAGTTATGTTAATCACTTCTGTATCGATCTCTTCATTAGATTCAGAATGAGATTCTGCGATTATTTCACTATCTTCAGTTATGTCAGTCTTTTCATTAGATTCAGAATGAGATTCTGCGATTATATCATTAGTGACTTTGGTCCTCCTTTTTGGTGGTTCGCAAAATGCATACGGCTCATCCAGCACACGTTTCCTATATTTTTCTATGATTGATTTTTGTAGTGAAATGCCTTGATCTACGGTCTTCTTCGTCGCATCCAAAATATGTTGGGTCTGTTTAAGGCACATTTTGTTCTCCATTTCGATCTATTTGCAGACATTATGAAGTATTAAAGCCACTAAACTTCGAAAACATCATAAGGACAACATACTTGCTCCTTTTCAAGTAACTTGCATCTCTCCTCAAGTAATCTGATCTCCTTAAAAATATCTTGTTTTTTCGCTTGTAATTCCCAGAAAAGTTTTACCTCTGCCGAGTTTTTATCGCGCTTATAAATATTAATTTTTAAGGAGAGAAAGAGAATGGCTATTTATTAATTTTATCCTAATTTGCATGTAAGAAATAACATAAAGCTAACTACAAACAAGTTAGCAACCTTTCCCACTACCAGTAAGCAACCAGCATGGTAGTTTGTGACAACACAGTACGAATACACTACACACTAACACACCAACAAGTAAGCAACCTTTCCCTTGCCAGTAAGCAACCAACAAGGTAGTTGGCGATGGCATAGTGTCAAATCAACAAATAAAACTTATACTTGCCTTGAACTTTTGTTTCCATATCAACACTTTCTTCCCAATTTCGGATTCTTCATCATAGTATTTCCTAATAGTCTTCAGTTCATCCTTGTACCGACGATGCTCCACTTCACTATCTTCCAAATTACTTTGGCGTAATCGGAAATTCAGGAATTTATTAAGCGAAGGTTCCTCCGTGTCCTTCCAAAAGTCTATATTTTTACAAACACGTTACGCTGTAAAGCATTGTCATAAGGAGATAATAGTACAGATTTCTTACCACTGTATTTCAAATCGTCGATACAATTAGGTAAAAAGTACATTTTTATTTATAAAACGGGTATTCTGTTTCTCCTGGAAAAAACGTAGCTTAATCGCTGATAATCAGTAAGGGTATATACGCAACAATCGCCGATTGGATAAAAATTCTATTAAATGCGCCAATTATGAAGATCGTCTATATATAATAAATCAGAATTTCGGATTAAAGTATGGTTGAAGTACGGTTGGAATGTGGTTGGTAAAATAATTAATTATACAATAGCGGAGCTAGTACTAAGGCACATATATCGTAATATAGTATGGCTAAAGTGCGGTTAAAGTGCTGTTGAAGTACGGTTATACTTATTATGTGTCAGAGACACTAGCTCGCTATAAAAATCTCTATCGGACCTCAATATCGAAAAATGGTTGAATGGACCGATGCTCAAATCCGTATACTTATTGATGAGCGTAGAAATAGAAATGACGAATATTCATAATCTTGGAAGAAATCGAATCAGATTTTGGGATAGCATTGCTACCAGGGTTAATCAAGAGCATAACACCACGAGCTTCAATGGGCATCAATGTAAAGAAAAATTTATGAATCTTGTTCGGGATTAAAATGTAAGTATGACATAGTAAGAATTTTATCGGGATATGGCTAATAATTTATATCAATTAGTTGATGTGTGATTATATGTCAGGGAATCGAAGAGCACGAAGAAGCCGAACGGGTGCACAATATTTTAATGAATTTCGTACGCATTTTTGGGAGAGGCCTGAAGATGATTTCGATAGAATCCGCAACATTAATAGTTCTAATCGTAAACAACGTAGAATTGGGGGAAATAATACACCCGCACCATCTACTAGGGAAGTTGAACAGGAATTGGGTCGAACATCGCCAGGTAATCGAAGAAGTCGAAGAACTTCCGTTGATAGTCGAAGAAGTCTTAGACGGTCAGCATCTCCACCTCCACCCCGCGATGCAATAAACACTAATACAAACAATTCTGGTGTGGAAAATCCTGAGCAAAATACTGATCACGCTGGCTCCGTCGAAACGTCATCTCTTCAGCCGCCACCACCTTACTCACGGAGCGAGGATGCTGTCACATCTGGGGCCACAGATGAAGCGCAAAATAATGTGAATAGAAATTCAAGCCATAACGTAGATTATACAGGTGGAAATTTAGATGATTTAACAGATTTTACCTCAACCCTTAATATAACCGCGTCACAAAATGATAGTGATGTTAATATGGCTGATATAGGAGGTAGTCAACCATCGGAACCTATAAATGAGTAATAAATTTTATTGCAGAACAGGCCGAAGGGCGATCCAAGGATCATGGTTCTTCGAACCTACCCAAATAGTTGGTTATATTTTTTGTTGTGTGGATAGTGGAGCTAGTGTTTCGAAGAAACGACCTATAAGGCCTATCTCTGTCACATAAAAATCATGTATGTATGCCGAATTGACAAACCGATCACTTTTACCAATAAATTTCCGTTACGAAAAATCGATTGCGTGCATGATGTAATCGTTGATTGTTGCTATAAATTCCAAATCTACTTGTGGTATTCACATTTTCTTTGTGAAAGGTTTTTTTTTTCGTCGTGCATCGCTCCAGTTCCACATTCCCTAAATCTACTATTTTCATACCTAAATTAGTGGAAATGGGTGGGTGGAAACGTTTTAAAAGGACAGTATATTTATGTTCTGGATGTTCGTCGCTTCTTTTTACTTGCAATATAACAAAGCTAATATCATTTTCAATAACCACGCAAACATGTTCACCGAATTGTATAACAACATTTACGATTTCTTGACAACTGCCGAAGAACGCCAAATAAATGCTATGTCGGTTATTTATCTTGGAATGAAAGAAGACCGCTGGATTCCGCAAAACAAATTAAGATCAATTATAGACCGAGTCGTAGCTTCCGCTAGCAATGTATATATGGATACTTCGTCGCGTCAATTAAGAATTCTACGGATTCTTCCACAGGTTAGTTATTTAGATATATTATATTCTAAAATTATCCGCGTTATATGATGATATTATGTGATCCACTCACAAAGATGAGTGCTGAATAAATAGTCAAATTATTTTGATTGTTGCTTATGTGGTGAATTATGTTTTCCTCAATTACAAATCGTGGTTCCGCTTCGTCCCAGACAAATTGTTGCTTTTTCTTCCCGTTTTTTGCTTCACAGTAATTTACCCGTTACTAGAGGGATTCGTCACAGCGTCGTATATTTCGTCCATAGTATGTTCTTCCACCATCTGCGCAATTTTTCTTCTATTTATGATGATCTAGAGGCAGGGATCGAAAGAGATGCCCATGGATCGGTTGTTCCATTTATCTCTCGACAAGATCTCAACGACTCGCGAGATTTGAATAATCGAACCGAACCCTCTCAACCGAAAAAATGGCAAACTGAGACACCAGAAAGATTTTGCGATAAGAGACGTGGAAATATTGGTAAGTAATTATATTGCCGAAACGATCTGGTTATTTTGTATATTCTAGGTTTCAAATATCAACGTTTATTCTTAGATTTGAGGCGAGCACGTCGTGGGTTAAAGACAGAAGATCCGTTATTCCGTGGTTATATAACAAAAATTCTTAGAATATAGCGATATCAGTTTTTAAATGTAAATACAGTACGGGATAAAAATAATGGCACTTTTTATTTTTGTTATTATTTAATAAATATTTAAATTAAATAAAAATTTAAATTTAAATAATTTTAAACTAATAAAATAATTTGTAATAAAAAATTTTTTTTATTTAATTATCAATGTTTTAAAAAATTTTAATTTTTATTAAAAATTTTTATTGCATTTTTTATTTTATATTTAAATTCTGTAGAGTAGAAAGTAATTTTAATATGATTTTATATTGATTTTGCTTTTAATACAAAAGATTTTAAAAAAAATGACATAATAATTTAAATTAATTTTTTTTTAAAAAATTTTTAATAAAACTTAAAATAGTTTTAATAAAAATTATTCTTTATATTTAATAATTTTTAAATATAGTTTTTTTAAAAAAATTATTTAATAAATAAAATTATTAATTTTAATAAAAAAAACTGAGTGCCAGTTCATGTAAAAGATCTTTAATGTAATGGCTATAAACTCTTGTTTAATAAAAAGTCTCACATTTAATGCTTATTTGCAAAAAAAAAAAAAAAACCGAGTGCCAGTTTTTTTGTTCCAAACTGTATATCACCGATTATCACTGGTTAAATAAAGATTTCGCATGTAAATATATCAATTCTAATTATTTAAACTGATTTTTATTGCATTATCTATTATTTTTTGATTTAAATTTCCCGGTTAATATGATTTAATAAATTTTCCAGGCATCTTGTGATATTTAGTTCTAATTAAAGCATATATCTAAAATGTTTATTCTTAGTAAAGTTCATCACTAATAAAAAAATATATTTAAAATTAAATGTATTTCTAATCTATGTGGTAAAAATTGGGTTATATAAAGACATATGCTGAAAATCAATAATGGAGCTAGCAAGGTTAATATAAAAATCTCAGATGCAGATCATCTTTAATACAGATGTGCTAGCTCATACTATTTTGTGATTGTTTCTGTTCCAATTTTGTGATTCTAGCTTTAAGTTTGATGTTTTCAGACTTAATCTCAAAAATTACAGAGATTTTAACTTCCTAAGACATAAGTCCTTTAATATACACACTAATGGAGATTGATAGTCTGTTTCTTCTTATCACCTTTTTGAGATTCGTTTTTGATGGTTCTTATCGTGAAGCATATATAATGATAAATGTTTCTATCCAATAATATATAGCAAAAATATAGGAATTATTTGTGTTATACGGTTACTTCAACTTTTATGCTGATTTTTAATTTGTTGATTATTATGATCTGTAATATTTTTTTTACCTCATATGTTTATACTATAGTCACTATGCATCTGCCAATGATAAGAAAACACAAATTAGATTCAAAAGAATCATAAAAGGAATGGACTTATCATTCTTTATTAATAGTTATATCAAAAATCATATGTTTTAGGAATTCAGAATTCTTAGATTATCAATATTATTATTCTTTTTACTTCGCAAAGAGATTGTTAAAATTAGGGATATTTTATTGAATGCAATTACAAACAAAACCTGACTCATGCTAAGTGATTAACCGAAAAAATAATAAAAAAATATTTGGATTTTGAAATGGATCTAATAATCATGAACAGTATAAAATATATCATTTTTCTCCCTTCTCTGATAGATACCAATAATATTTTTATTACTAATTCTTTTTTCTTATTATTCAGAAAAAGTAAGTAATATATAATAAATTAGGAAAGCAAGTACAAGGTACTAAAAGATGTTCTATCTGACTTCACATTTTACTCACCCTTGTTTTATATTTAGGAACATGAAAATAAACAGTAATAAGAAAACCACTGTCAAGATCAATGATTCCTCTGTCTCCAAGACCAATAATAATAACACATCTGAGGGCAATTATTTTAATAACTTATCATTTTCCACACCAAGAACCAGACAACAAAGCAAACTGAGACAATCTTTATTTTGTAAGTTTTGTGTTATAAATACTCTATGAAGCATTCTATTTATTGAAATATAATTGTCGAAGACAGACAGTAACTAACAAAATTATATTTTTAATAAAAATTAGATAAGCAGATCTAAAGAAAAATATCAAAAGATAATTTAAAATGTGATAAGAAGAATGATGATAATTATTGATTAAATCCTGGTCAACAGGATGATATGTTGAATCAAGTGTATAATTGATTCATCTTTTTTGAAACATATATTTTTTTTATCTGCATATTATTTGGCAACTTTTTTTTATGAAATAAAACACATGACATTGATCTTTAGGGTCATTATAACGTAATATGATTTTGCAGTTATGATGTAATGTGATTATAATTAATTTTTCTTTTTTACTTTGTGACATCATACACTCTTACATACATATGTATCTTCTGATCCCGAACTAGACAAAGAAGTGCTCGAACAGAAGTATCAGAATTAGTATCTGATTTCAATTTTATAATGGAATACTTGACCTTATTTTTCTTGCTTTTATTTTGCTATAAGTGAGAATCAAAAAAACCTGACTAATTATTGTATAGCAATGAAGCTTTGCTTTTATCAAATTTATACACAGGTACTATTATATATTTTTCTTTTCTTTTGATGAGATTTTTGATATAAAGAGTTATTCTTACCTAGCCATTCTTTGTATCAGTTACAATTTCTGCTCTATATGTCTGGAGCTCTTTATTATCATATTTTCGACCAGTGAATCAATCAAATCCTAACCTGATATAATTGAGAAATTCAGGATAATGTCTTACGATTAATACCTGGGTTGGAATTGTAATAGATATATCTTGTTTGCTAAATCAACTACATTCTGTACTTGAAGTAAAAATAAGCTGAATCACGGTCTATCCAATCAGATGTGTAGTCATCTCTCTGAAAAATCTACTATATTTATCTTCAGAACTTATTTGTTTAGTGATTTTCCTACTAATATGCTTGAGAAATTTATCACTACATATAGCTGGCCCAAAAAATCCCAGTTCAAGATAGCAGTTGACTTCTTGATCTCTAAATTTAACTTTGGCTATTTTCATGGTAGGTTATATTATGTTATATATTCGATTGAAAAAATAACCAATAATTTACTAGATTTTGACCACATCTATAGAGCGTGTGAATCATATTTTTCAGATTCTGGATTGTCTTTTAATAATTTTGCAGTTATGATATGGTTATAATTATTTTTTGATTGAATTTGCTATATTCACTTAATTTATATATTTTGCATTGTTTTCTGCATTAATTATATTACAATATTATAACAATCATAATGAGTAATACTAATAATAAATTCAACAAATGTGAAAAATTTGCTCCTTTATATGAAATGCTTTTATATAAGAAGAAGCTAATGAAAATGTGAGAGTATACCTTCGAAAGTTTAAGGAATTTCATGGTCTATTAGAAGATGTTCCAAGTGTATTGATAGAGAAATTCATCGACAAGAGGATAAAAATGTTTTATTTCACTGAAAAGGTGTTTCCATTATTTTCGAATATTTTTTTCAACAACTATATGAAATTTTCATAAAAAATTATATTAGTACTGATCAGTGTCCATGTTTGGAACAGGTTAGCTAATCTAATTTACTTATCATTTTATGCTGATTATTTCATATCATTCTCTGCTACTATATATAATTATTTGTAAATTATGATGAATAATTAAAAATTATTTCACCAGTCTCTCTAACTGCAAAAATAAGATCTGTTACAATTAATGGATCTGGAATAAGTAAAGGTAGATCAGAATCTGAGAATTCATTATCAGAATAATCCAAGAATTCATTATCAGGATAATCTGGATATTCGATTTTAATCTCACAACTAGTTTCATTGAGCAACATAAGAGTTTTATTTGGGAAGTTCAGTTTCATTGTATTTTCCTGGAATCAAGGTTAATCCAATATCAGTACAGATTCAAATTTGGATTTATTGGTAATAAAAACATCAGTCACTACTATTTGCTCCCATTTACAATCTTGAGACAGAATCAAAATCTCTATTTCATGAATTATTCCCAACATATCGATCTTGCTAATAGGATTATATATTTCTGCATCACAGATGTTATCGATTTTTAAACCTATTTCATTTATTACTTTCTCGCCTATAATATTACAATTAGCACTAGAATCTAATATAGCTATAATTGGTATTTTGTTAATTTCGTAGGATAAAGTTATTATTGTAATGTTTTATTATAACAATATATTTAATTATACATTTTTAAATTTATATTAATAAATAATAATTTTGCATTTACAATAACTGAAACTAATAATGACCTGTGGGTCTGTAGTGTAGTGATTAACACTCCACAGGTCAAATCACAAAATATCAGTTCAACCCCATGTGAGGACGGTTGAATAGAATTAATATGGTATCTGGCGCCATAACCTGTAAAAAGCGTCATTTCTCATAGAAAAAGCCATGTCACACGCTGATTCAGTGGGCTTTGAGATTGT